TTAATTAATGCAATGTAGACTCTCTGTCTGCACAGATGAAGATTCACTCTCCACAGCAAGCAAAATGCTTCTACTGAATAATCTGACAATTATCTGACAGCTTAGAGACGCATATAATCTATGTAACGCTAAACATTGATCCCAAGATGGTCAAGGACTGAACAAAAAAAAAAAAATATAATAGTGACACCATGATAAAAGTATAAGGTGAAATAATACTAAATTAACATACGCAGATTCAAAGAAATGTGCAAATGAGTAGGATAATTTAAAAAATGTTCATGTACGTGTATATTTGTATAAAAAAAACAAACTTATCAAGAATTTTAAAAAGTTGAAAATAACAGCAGGAATGTTATCACTTACAGAGTTTATTGGGAGTAGTGATGGTTTTAAAGTCTTCCAGCTGCCAGGAGGAAGGATCTGTGATAACGCTCCTTTGTGCAAACAGGATTAAGCAGTCCGTTACTGAAAGGGCTTGAGTTTGTCCATTAGAGATGTGATTTTAACAAGCAACTTCAGCAATTTTGTGATGCTACAGATTAAAAACGTCATTTTATGGCATGAAGAATTTCCACTGGACTCTGCCAGTTCTTTCTTTCGATCTGAACATTTTCTATGTTCTGTTGATGGTAGAATCACAGAACAGAGACCACATTTTCACCTTTGCTCTGATGATCACCTGAAACATTAACTCATTTTCCAGAGTTTTAGCACAGAGCAGATTCACTGTGTTGGTGCATGACTAAGCTGGAACATAAGTCCAGTGAACGTATCCAACCGTTAATAAATCTCTATGCCAAGCAAATTATTCATCTATTGATTAGAAGAACGAGGTCCAGGAAAGCTTTTCTGAGAACTTATTAATCCTCTCAGTTTATGCAACCTGCATTCTGCTGCTGTCAGAATACAGGTAACTGATCTTATGAAAATTATAAAGAAACGACCCTTTTGCCTGCTTGGAGATTAAAATGTTTCTGTGGTTTTATCTGCCAGGTTTATCCCAGAGTCTCCAAGGTGGCTCATCTCTCAAAACAATTCCTCAAAAGCTCTGGAAATAACCAAGGCTATTGCCGAGGAGAACAGGAAGAAACTCTCCTCTCATTTTGAGGTAAATCCTGTCATTAGTCTATTCCTTTCCTCTGAAGTGGAAGGATTTAGATTATTTTCTTTAACAAGGTTTAAGTACATTTTTATTTTGCTTTGATAAAATAATACATTAATACAATAAGGAGAACATTTTTAATAGGCTTCCTTCACTCCATCACTTCAGCATGTATTTGTACATTCATTGAGTTTGACCAGGAATATATTAAAATCACACAAAATAAAATTGTAGTAACTAGTTACATTTACTTGAGTAAAATTTCTGGATTCTCTACTCAAAGAGTAAAAAACAAACAGGTTTAACCAGAAACCTAACATATTTTAAACTACTGGATAATTTAATCCATAACTGCATTACTGTTGCTATTGTAATTTTAGTGAATTGTGTCTTATCATAGGTACTAATTGGTGATGAAGTTGACTCCACCTCTGCCTCGTTGTTGGACTTGATCAGAACTCCCAATATGAGAAAACACACTTTCATCCTCATGTTTAACTGGTCAGGCTCATCTAAAGCATCAGATCATTCCAGCCCTGCACAGAGGAAAGATTTAACCTTTCATGTCTTTATTCCTTAGGTTCACCAGCGCTGTGGTTTATCAGGGCCTCATCATGCGGGTGGGGATAACAGGAGGAAACGTCTACATCGACTTCCTCATCTCCAGTCTGGTTGAGTTTCCCGCCGCGTTCCTCATCCTGTTGACGATTGAGCGGATCGGCCGTCGGCTTCCCTTTGCGTCCGCTAACATCGTAGCTGGAATCTCCTGCATCGTCACTGCTTTCATTCCTGACAGTAAGACTTAACGGCTAAAATTTGGAAGAAGCATAAAACCAGCCACTGCATAAATACTTTGTTCTTCAGGTATGTTCTGGTTAAAGACCATAGTGGCCTGCATCGGTCGGCTGGGGATCACCATGGCCTTTGAGATGGTGGTGTTTGTTAACACTGAGCTCTACCCGACTTGTGTCAGGTGATCAATGAATAAGCATCCGTTGGGCTGACTGTTTTTGATGACTTCATTAATGTACCATATAACTAATCTCTCTAACCTTTTGTTGTAGGAACCTCGGAGTGTCGGTTTGCTCCACTCTTTGTGATATTGGAGGAATTGTTTCTCCCTTCTTGCTCTACAGACTGGCCAGCATCTGGCTTGAACTGCCTCTCATTATCTTTGGTAGGTTTCTGATTATATGTTCCGTTGTGTTGGATTGACATCCAGGTACCTGGGCAATCCAAATGCCTTTGCTACTGTTTGCAGTCTGATCGATGTTAGTAACTTTGTTTCTCACCTGGTCTTCAACTTCTTTATATTGCTTTCTGGGATCTTAAAGCCTACTTCATGTTGTCACTCAGGTTCTTTCTAAGTGATTTCTTGATTTTTACAGGCCAGGCAGGGACTGGCTGCTGAAATTGGACCAAACAATGTGTTTTTTTAGTATTTGTGATTTAACAGGATAAATATTTTTGAACAGTGCCAGTTGATTTTTTTTCTGAAGAAACTAAATCACTATTTAAAAACTGTATTTTGGTTTTTACACAGGATGTCTGATGATTTCAAATATTAAATGTGACACAAAAAAAACAAAGATAGAATGAATTACCATAATACTGAAAGTGGCAAAGCTCCAAAGATGTCTTAATCTGGTATAAACTGATCTTAAGTTAATGAAAAAAAGCAAATACTGACCAGAGCCGTCTGGTTCAGGTTAAAGTTGATCCACTTTGGCTTCTTTGACCTTCTTGTTATCCTGAACAGGAGCTGTAGCTCTGGTAGCTGGAGGTTTGGTTCTGCTGCTGCCTGAAACCAGAGGAGTTGCTCTGCCTGATACCATCGAGGACGTTGAGTTTCCTCATCGGTAAAAAACCCCACTAACCCTTCATGCTAAGTCTTCAGTAAGACTTTAGCATTTTATCCTGTAACTTATATGTTGTAGATTTATTGTGTTTTGACACACTATAATTCAATTTTATTGTTATTCACTTAAAGTCTTTTGTTTTCTCAGGAAAAAGGGGAAACGAGAAGAAAATTAGGAAGTGAAGCACGTCTTGAAAACTAATGAAGTGGCTTAGTTTTATTTTAACAAATTAGCTCCAACTTAAGAAATTAGTTTTTTTATGTGTTTTTAATACAAAGTCTTACTTCTAAAGTTAGGCATTTTATTGTTTTTTCACAATACAACATGATGGTCAGCTTTTTAGTTGGCTTCTATTGTTTTCTTGGTCCAGTCAACAAAAAAGGTTTAAGTCGACCTGAAATGCCCTGGAATCAATTTACAACTGGATTTTAAAACATAATGTTCATAACTGAAGTTTCAACAAAAATTACATTTTTCTTCCTCTTTTTGTCTAGTTTTTTTATTGTGACACTTAAACATCGCACTACAAAACACATCATAAAATAAATTAATCATTCAATAATTGTCAAAAAAACATAACAGAACATACATTATGGTAAAATGTCATCGTATTTTGTGTGTGGAAAACATTTAGCGCTACAAAGTTGCAAATGCTTAATATAATTTGTGTTGTATTAATAATATTGTTCTACACTGTGTGAAAAATACATTCAACAGTATTGTTTTATGTTTAACTGTTACAGTATACTGCAAAACATATTGTACTGTACTATATGTATCATGACAAAATAAATCATATATGTCTTTAACAAAAAAATGTAGACTGCTATATTTTATAATACCCATTATAATATACTGTCTGATGGTAAAATGTACTATACTACATGTACCACACCATACCACTGTATAAAATACATTATAGTTCAAATGTGAAAATTAAGCCATACTGTATATAAGTATCAGAGTATACAGTATACATACTATTCTATATCATCATAATGTGCATCATATAATGTGTGTCATGGTATAATATGCTATACTGTCTCATTATGCAACGTCATGAAAATCTTACTGCTGCTCTGTGTTACAAAATCACGGAATAATTCAAAACGCATAATACTAAACTGAGTTTGTGATAAAATAAGCTAAATATTCTACATTATGTTTCATGATAAAATGTTACACTATACTTGACATTTGCATTAATAAGCATAAGCATTTGGACAGGTGTACCTAATAAAGTGGCCGGTGAGTGTATGTCAGAGTACACTGTTTGACACACTGGTGGTCTCATGGTAAAAAATAGCAGAAAATTAGTGTAAAAAAAACCTACATTGTGGTAACCATTGTGTAAAAAATAAGTCAGTTTGTTAATTTTAAATCACCTCATTTTGTGTCATGATGAAATAAACCATACTGAACTACGTGTCAGATCATAAATCACCATGTTGTGTGTAATGTGATAAATGCATAATGATACACTTGGTCATTATAAAACCAAACATGTAAAATTATGTGTCATGATAAATATATATTCTATGCTCATGACAGTACAGTACGATGAATTTTACACACATAGTTTAACATAACATGTTTTATTATGAGTACAGTAAAATGTATGTTACACACAATAGTATAATGTATTCAACATAGTGCAACATGCTACGTTCTACTGCAATAGAGTATAGTGACTGTGGAAGAAGTAAGAAATAAATGTTTGACGTTGAGGTTTAACATTTTTATTGAAATTTAAAATCAATGAAACACAATTTGACATTACATGAGACAAACTGACAGCGCTGGGCTCAGCGTTAATCAGATTCCCTTTGAAGATGATGAATGTCTGACTTCAATCGTCATAATAGTCATCTGCTTTAGAAAAAGATGAAAAAATTGTCACTAACTGGATATTAACTCATCAGTGCATTCATTCATGTTTGCAAACTCATGTTAGATGAAAGAAAATCTTAAAATGTAGGTATACAATGCATCCTACTAGATAAATATCATTTAAAGTTAGAAAATAAAAATCTTTTACTTCAGAAAAATTTTCAAGATACTTTTGAGTATACTTAAGCAAAATTCACAACTGAGAAACAAATTGATTTCTGTAGCTAATCGTAGCTAAACATTTACAGTACTGAAATGTTTGGTTGCAACAAATCACAAAAATCACAAAACCAAATTGTCCTTCAAACTCATAAAGCTCCATCACATATCAGAAACCTGATTGTTTACTGCTGATCGTACAAGACTTTTTCAAACCAGATTCTCTTTTTAAACTATTCTTGCCATTTTAATGCTGCATTGAACAGTTGTTAAACTCAGAAAATGTTGCTGAGAAAATGAGCAACAGCTTGTGTTCTTTATGGCCCAATTGGTGACAACACTCCTGTTAGCATGACTTCATTAGCCTGATACTTCCAACCATCGTTTACAACTGAACAAACCTTTTTGATTAGAGATTAAATATCTTCAGAAAACCAAAATGAAGACCAGTTAACTTCAATGTAAACACTTTTAATTACATACATAACTTAGACATATTTTGTATTTACTGTACCTCCAATAGAGGAGACATAACATTGCTGCACGTTGCAGTATTCCCAATCGTTGTTATGGATGTAACACCATGGTCGGATTCCCGTTCCCAGCACATTACGACAATAATTATTGTCTAAATCACTGAAAACAATTTAAAAAAAGCAACTTTTGTTACCAAATATTATGTGTAAATAATGCCACTAACGCATATAAAATAAACTTTATATTCATCAGTTGAATTTCTTTCTATTATAATAATAATATTGTCATTTTTTTAACATAACTTATTCAACTATTGTTCTGTTTATTGAGAGTAGGTTGTGTCTCCTACCTGCAGGGGTATAGTTCAGGTGTATAGCGAGTTTCCGACCACCTTTTGCATTTATTACCTTTCTCAGTCACAGAAATTGTGCCGCGGTAGTTTTTACCATTACCAGTTATACAGTTCAGCTCAGGAGTGATAGGAGGAGGCGCTGATGCTAAAATAAGAAGAAAGTTGACAAAGTTCGCTGTTAGAAAACAAATCAATCAATCAATCAAATTTTATTT